TTGTTTACTTGCCATCTTTCCATTCTTCTGAAGTAAGCATTTAATGTGATAAATTCACCCCCCCCCCTCGTTCTGATTTTGCAGTATCCCACAGGTTTTGGCATGATGTGTCATTGTTTTCATATTTTCAATAAATTTTTTTGATTTCCTGTTTAATTTCTTCTTGGACCCATATGTCAGTAAGTAGAATATTGTTTAATTTCCATGTGTTTGTATAGTTTCCAGAGTTTTGTTTATTATTGATTTCTACTTTTAATCCATTGGAGAATGTTCCATGTGCTAATGAGAAGAATGAATATTATGAGGTTATTGGATGAAATGTTCTGTAGATATCTGCCAAATCCAGTTGGTCTCAAGTAGTGTTTAGATCTTGTATTTCTCTGTTGATTTTTTGCCTAGATGATCTGTCCAATGTTGAGAGTGAGGTGTTCAGGTCCCTTGCTATTATGGTGTTAGTGTCTATCTCTTTCTTTAGGTCTGATAGTGTTTGGTTTATAAATCTGGCTGCTCCAATGTTGGGTGCATATGTATGTATGATTGTTATGTCTTCCTGTAGGATAGATCCTTTTATCATTATATAGTGCCCTTATCTCTTTTTACAGTTTTTGGTTTAAAGTCTATTTTATTTGATGTAAGAATAGCTACTCCAGCTCGTTTTTCATTTCTGTTTGCATGGTGTATCTTTTTCCATCCTTTCACTCTTAGTCTATATGTGTCTTTACATGTGAGGTGAGTCTCTTGAAGGCAGAATATAGTTGGGTCCACCTTTTTAATCCAGTCAGTCAGTCTGTGTCTTTTGAGTGGGGAATTCAATCCTTTTACATTAAGAGTTATTACTGAAAGGTATTGATTTACTTCTAGCATTTTATTGATTTTTGTTTGGATGTTTTAATTATCTTTTGTTCCTTTCTTTCTGATTTTACTGTTTGTCTTCTGTGTTTGTTGGTTCCTTGAGATGGCAGATAAGCTTCTTTTCTATTTATTGTTTGCATTTTTGTTTTACTGGTGAGTCTTGTTCTTTCTTGATTAATCATGGTAGTGTTGGTTGTTTTTCAGGTACCAGACACAGTACTACCTTGAGAATTTTTGTAAGGCTGACCATGTGGTAGTAAACTCCAGCAGTTTTTGTCTGGGAAATATACTATTTGTTCTTCATTTTGGAAAGATAGCCTTGCTGGATAAAGTATTCTTGGCTGGCAAATTTTGTCTTTTAGTATTTTGAATATATCATCCCATTCTCTTCTGGCTTTTAGTGTTTCCAGTGAAAAGTCTGATGTTAGGCTTATAGGGGCTCCTTTATAGGTGACTTGACACTTCTCTCTTGCAGCTTTTAAGATTCTTTATTTGTCTTTGAGTTTTGCCAATTTGACTATAACATATCTTGGTGAAGACCATTTGGGGTTATGTTTGGGGATCTTTGAGCCTCCTAAATCTGAAGATCTGTATCTCTCCCTGTACCTGGGAAACTTACTGCTATTATTTCATTGAATATGTTTTCAATGCCATTTCCTTTTTCCTCCCCTTCTGGAATACCCATGATTTGGATATTTGAGCACTTAAGCTTGTCTGTTATCTCTCTTAGATTTTCTTCAATTTTTTAGTTCTTTTTTCTTTTTTTTTTGTCTGCCTGTGTTATTTCAAATAGGCCATCTTCAAGGTCAGAAAGTCTCTCTTCTGCTTGTTCTAGTCTGCTGGTTAAGCTCTCTGTTGTGTTTTTTATTTCATTGAATGAATCCTTCAGCTCCACAAGCTCTGGTACATTCTTTTTCAGGGCATTGATTTCTTTGTACATTTCCTCTTTCAGGTCCAGATCCTATATACGTTTTCTCATTTCATTCTGTTGTGTAGTTGTGTCTTTTTGTATCTCACTTAATTTCCTTAGAATTTTTGCTCGAAATTCCTTGACAGTCATTTCAAGGATTTCCTGTTCTATAGGCTCTAGAACTTGAGAGTTATTATGTTCCTTTGGTGGTGTCGTACTTTCTTGGTTTTTCATATTTCTAGTATCTCTCCACTGATGTTTAGTCATTGTGGCAGAGGGTTTCATGGTCCACTCGTTTCACCCTGGTGTCTGCAGCAGTGACAGGGATTTTTGCTGATGCTCAGCTCCCTGTTCCTCCCTTGGGGCCTGAGGGTTGGCAGGTCCTGGGCTTAGGTTTTCAAGCAGAAACCATATGACCCTTGTAACCAGGCTGTACTCTATATAATTCTCCTTTTTAATGTTCCATAGAGCACATCATTCCATTGGGCAGCATGGCAATTAACAGCATCTCAAAACTGACTCAACTCACCCAGTCTTCCATGTATTCACTTCCTAATGCACCAACTCTGGCAGACCTGGATGACGATACCCATGAAGGTACCAGGAGGAACTTATGCTTTGGGTTAGAAATCAGCCTGCTTGTTTCCCTTTTATTATATTGAGAACCATGGGAAGACATTGCAACACTGTAATAAGTTCCCCCAAACCAAAACCCTTCCCACTCATAGCATCTTAGTACCTTGGGAGGAAGGCAAAAGATAGCCTACGAAGGAAATTTAAATGAAGAAAATGCCAGGGTTGAGATCTTTGTTTTTTGTTTTCAGCACCCAGTTTATTGCCTGGCATATAGTAGGCTCTTAATAAATAGTGAATGAATGAGTGTTACAGATTAAACTTCATTCAACATTGTAGTATCAAGAGGATTCAGGGAGTCTAAGTACAGCTCCTTTCCTCTTCATTCCTACCTCCAATCTCTTTGCAACTTCTGAATGAAATCACTTGTAAGTCAGGTGGCTGCTAAAACTTATGAACAACTGGGTATAAGTGAGGACATATTTAGTCAGAATTGTGTTTGGCTGCATATAACAGAGACCCAGTTACAATATGTAAACTAAATAGTGGTTTATTTTTCTCATAACAGGAAATGTGGAACTAGGGTAGTGTAGCTGCTTGAGAAGGTTTATAATAATGTTTCCCTCCAGCTTTCTGCTGCACCAATCCTTGGGTATGGTTTTCATCCTCACAGTTGAGGAATGTGGGCTCTACCTCCAGGCTTCAAGTCTGTGTTTCTGGTAGGAAGGAGAGTAAAAAGCAAAGGGCAGAAACCTGGCTCTTGGCACAATCTCTCCCTTTTTATTAGGAAAACAGTAGTTTTCTCAGAAGCCCCTCCCAATAGCCATTGGCCAGAACCAAGTCAATGCAGTCTTAGTCGTGCAGTTTTGCCTCCTCAGACAGAATTGGGGTTTAATTAAGAAAGAAAGGGAGAATGAAGAGTCAGTAGGCAACTAGCATCTCTATCACTAAGGCTTTAGGGTTCACTGAAGTCCTGGCAGAGAGAACCGATGTGAGGCTTTCCTCCTCCACTGAACAAGCAATTACAGAAGAGTACCAGAGGATTCCAGAAGCAAAGACTTGGAAGTGCTGCATCCTGGGAAGAGCCTGTCACTGAGAGATCTGTGCAATCCCCAGGGGTGGGGAAATGTCATATTGGCATCATACGTTTGTGTTGGGCCTTTTCTAAAAGGCAAAGAAGTAGTTAAATAGGTGGACTGAGTCTTCCTTGACCTTGAGGTAGACTAGATAACAGAGAGGATTCAAGGGGCAGAAGGACTGAGCTAGGGTAGGGACTGCATTGCCCTACATACCCATGGGGATAAAAACCACTTGGACTTCTGGTACCTGCTGGGTTCATACTTATTAGGATAGTCCAACAACTACACCTAAGTCTCATTAAACTTAAATAGAAAAATACTGACTTTTCTCAGGGCACTCACTAGGCAGACAATGATCAGGAAGAAGTTTCATGGATAGTCCAACAACTACACCTAAGTCTCATTAAACTTAAATAGAAAAATACTGACTTTTCTTAGGGCACTCACTAGGCAGACAATGATCAGGAAGAAGTTTCACAATATACAACCAGAGAAGTACAACTTCTAGAAGAGCAGATGAAAATCTAAGTAAAAACAAAAATAGGAGCAAATAAGGAGATTTAAGACAATACAAAGACTTCCTATAGATAAAAAAAAAAAGGTAAACATTCTCAAACAATTAACTAAAGGAATTGAAGAAGAATATAAATATTATTGAGATGTGAGTTATCCTAAAAAATCAAGTGCAAGAAATATCTTAAAGCAGAGGTAAATTTAAAAAAGGGGAAATAGGAAGAAAAAGGTAGGAGGGTAAGAGAAGTAGAAAGTAGATGCAGGACATCTTCCATTGGAATTATAGGTGCTCAAGAAAGAGAAAAGGAGTAGATGGAAAGACAATAAATAAATACTAATAAAAGAAAATTTCCCCGTAGATTGAAAGGGCTCACCTACACTCAGATTGAACAGATGAGAAAACACCTATGCATATCCTGATGTGGAAAAAAATTACAAGTTTCTAGGTAAAAATAACAAATACATATGAAAGAATAATAACCAGACTGACATCAGACTTGTCATCTGCAGCAGCGGAAATTAGAAGATAGTGAAAAAACATATACAGGTTATTGAGAGAAATAGTGTGAAAATCAAGAGTCCTGTATACACAGATCATATATATTTCTCAGGTTATAAGAATGATATTAAAGAATGTGAATACTCTAACCAAAAAACAGATGAAACCAAATGGGATCTCAAGATATGGATATATGAAGAGAAAAGGAAACAAGAGATTAGTGGACCTCCTATGAGGGAAGGAAAGTAGATGTGTATATGTGATAAAAGTTAAATCTTAATACCTGGGAATGTGTTATATAACTCTTGGAACATAGTGCAAGGAATATTCTAAAAAGAACTATACTGGGCCAGCCCGGTGGCGCACTGCTACAGTGCGCCACTTGGGAGCGCGGCAGTGCTCCCGCCGAGGGTTCAGATCCCACATAC